AAATTAAGAACTAATTTCTAATTTACTACATTGTTAGGTTAATTTGGTTAACCATTGTGGCCTGTGCAGGCACTTTTGGCATTCTTAAAGCAATGGAGGTTTACAAGCACTACAAGACTAAGCCAGCAATTTTAAATTTCGAAAGAGACCATAAGAATTGGGAAGAGAAATTTCCGACGGTAACAGTTTGCCAAATGAAGCTGATTCCAGACCCATACCTGGAGGAGGCATTTTTAAATGAAACTCAGTAAGTAGGAAGTAAAAAGCTTATTGTTATTATGATTTTTTAATAATAGACTTGTTTTTGTAAATTCATAGGTATTGCTATAAAATATTTTCTTGAGTACTGATTTTGTCTGAAATCATAAATAAAGCACAAGTTAAATTAAGCAGAGGAAAAATAGACGACAAAAATTATCTTGTTGTTTATTGTCAAAGGTTTAAATGATCAATAAATACACTACGATAGTTTTAGAAACTTTTTTTTTTCTAACATTGAGTACCCCAGATTAGTTTAACTAATTTTGGGCTATATCCATAAATATCTACCAATGCTCTAAATTTGCAGTTACTTGGTGAAATCGTTCTCCATGTTCATCAGTTCGGCAAATTTATCAGGATGAAAAAAAGAAGAAAATGTATTTTAAATGACATATTAACGCTAATTATTTACAAAACGAAGAGCATTTTTTCAATGAATTGGCGCCAATTTTAGGCCCGATATGAACCAAGAACATTTTCAATGACAGCTTTAACACTGCCATATGCGACAAGCTCGTCAACTTTGAGAGCATTTTTGAATGCTTGATCTTTCATTAAACGTCGTAAATCAGGTCCATTTAATATTCCTGCAAAATTAAAGTAGTAGGTGTATCTCATAAAATTTTGTAATGAAATATTGCGTTGGTTTTTCTTGGGTGTAAAGGTACCGCAACAAAAACAAAACCTCTTTCTTAAAGTTGATAAAGGCGCCTTTTATTTCAATTCGATATTACATTTTAATAATACTTAATAAATAAGATTGGATATTGGAATTTTAGGTATGATGTGAATAAAAAAATATCAAATAATAGTCGAAGAGTAATGTTTATACCGAAACCCATTTACTTTGTTGCCTTTTTAATCTAATTTGTAATTAAAAAAAGAAACAAAAATTCCAAAATATGATACTTTTTACCAAAAAAATATTATAATTTTAGTTTTGGTATTTAATAAAGCACTTCTCTGCAGAAAAGTGCTTTATTAAATATCCCTTATATAATACTACTATAGTATACGGCTACAATGGAATTTATCTACCGATGACTCTGTATGGAGTCCCTGTATTTTTTTATTACGCAATTATTTCGAATCCTAGACGTCCTGGAGAATTTTTATATTCTGTATTCTGTATTAGTACCACCACCACTATTTTTTCTTCACTTTGGTGCATTATAAAAGAAATATTCTACCAAGTTGTGTTATTAATAGTAGAAAACATTTTTCTATAAGGTCTTGAAGATATATTATTTCCATAAAGTTATGTTAACGTATCAAATTTTAGCAAAATCATGCATATAAGTATATAAGTATATGCAACAATGTAACAATTTTTCCTTAGAAACGAAATACCCTGGACCAATGAGGTAAGAAGTTACCTAGAAGATCTGGCATTCAACGATTACACAACGTATAGTAAATACAAAGACTACGCAGAAGGTAGAAAAAAGGAATATCTGAAGCCCGAACAGTACAGGGTGGTATTGGATCGCGTGGTACCCCATATGCCGGTTAATACAGGCACTAATAAAAAAATCTGGAACACTCACCCACCGATGGATGCAGACGATGTGGCCACAATTAGAACCTTCACGGAGGTTGGAGTATGTTCCACCTTTAACACCCATGCTATGTATTTATTTTCTCCAGGGTATGTATTTTTAAAAATGACGCACTAAAATAATGCCATGAAAGATTTAAAATTGAAAGAAGCATTTTTGAAATTTGTTGTTTTTTTTAATTTTTAACTTAAAGGCTAAACTTTTGACAGTGCATTCCTATAATGACCTGGATAACCACTAGAATAGTATATTGGAATTGCAGCCTTCGGCTCGTGTGACAAACTATTCACTCGAGCGGAATATGCTGTATTCCAAACTTGTTACAGACTATACTTTTTGTACGTTTCCAAAAATACCATAGAAAAATAATTTAATTGGAAGAAAGTGAGGTTGGATCGGTCTAAAATTTGTTAGATATTAAAAACAGAGATGTCACCACGAGTGTTTATTCTATCATCAGATGATAGAATATTTCATTCTGTAACACTTTACGGAATATATGTCATTCCATAGATAAAAGTGATATTAGAAGGGTCAAATTCCGTAGTAGGATTAGAAAATAGTATATTCTGTAACAAGTTTGGAATACAGCATATTCCGCTCGAGTGAAGAGTTTGTCACACGAGCCGAAGGCGAGTTTGACGGTTTCACGAGAGCGGAATATGCAATTCCAAACGTGTTTCAGACTATACTTTTTCTACGTTTCCAAAAAATACCATAGAAAAATAATTTAATTGAAAGAAATTGAGGTTGGATCCGTCTAAAATTTGTTAGTTATTAAAAACAGAGATGTCGCCACGAGTGTTTATTCTGTCATCAGAATATTTCATTCTGTAACACTTTACGGAATATATGTTATTCCATAGATAAAAGTGATATTAGAAGGGTCAAATTCCGTAATAGGAGTAGAAAAAGATATTTTTGGAATTGGGTCACTCCAAAATTGAGCTTTAATAAGTATTAATCCCGGCGCATTCGCCATTTTTTAAAGTAACGGTTGAACGGATTTTTATGAAATTTGGTTTTGGATACTAACTACAATAGTATAACATTATTACACAACAATAGTAAACATTTTTTTAACAGAATCTGGGAATCCCACAAGGGGAATTTAGTGTAAATTTACCTTAATTACAAAAATGACAATATACAAGTAACTTTGTATCATTTTATTAATTAAGGTAAATTCACACAAAATGTTTCATTTTTTTCCCAGTGTGTATTGCACTTACAACTATAGTTTTTTATTATTATAATACCAAGGAACCATAAATGTTTAGTAATTTAAAACGTCAAATGTCATAATTCCCAACCTACAGAATTATAAAAAGTCCTCATAACTGGGTAATTTTCAAAATTCTAGTACATTTAAAGAAGGTAAAGTAAAAACAAAAACTACGAACCTGTTTTTTTCCAAATTTTGTTTATTTAGGGGTGTTATTTAACACCTAAAAGTTGGATTTTTTTAAATAGGCCCTTAAAAAAGGAAAAAGAAAAAATGGTCCCCTGGGTCACAAATTTACTAATATATTAAAAAAACTTATTTATATAAAAATGCTTAATCATTTTGAAAATATATCTAGGTCTTTTATAAAAGCTGTGACCCAGGAGACCTGACCCAGGGGACCAAAATTAAGGGACAAACTTTAGGGGTTATTTTAACCACTTTTATTTTTAAATAATACCACAAATGGGCCTTTTCTGTAATATTTGGAATATATTCCCAACGATAAAAAAAGTATAAAAAAGTATTGATGAACAGATAATTCCATTTTTTATTATTTTTTCATTACTATAAATTCGTTTTTAATACTTACATGTTATGGTATGGAATAGTGCAACATTATTATCTGGACATTTGCTTTTTAGGTATATAAATAGTCATGAACTTAATATAACTCAAAAAGCAATTTTGTATAGGCATACGGACCAACCTATATTAACAACTAAGAATTTGGAATATTTTTATAAGGTTAGTAAAACAGGTTTGCATACTTTTTTGAAACTATGTACTATACGCTAAAGAAGTATCGGGTTTTTGCAACGCGCACGCCATCTAGTGGACTTCGATAGCATTGTGTGAATTTTTAATTGTCAACAATACATTTAAAGCATACGAACTGTACATTATTTTTAAATAAATAGGTATTTTTTTCACAAAAGAAAGGACAAATTGCGCACGTTATTTGTGTTTTACGTTGCAAGGAAAAAACTAAAAAACTGGTTTAGTACTCGATTTCGATTGATTATTCTTTATATCATTAATTAAGAAACTCAACGCTTAAATGCTTATATTTACGTTAGTGTGTGTATTTTATATAAGGGATCATGGTGAATTATTGTGTTTTTCATTGTAAATAAAATTCAAGAACTAAATCGTTGCATTTTCATGTTTTGCCAAAGCATCCAATTCGGTTTGTACATTTGTTGGTGCAGAATTAACTAAGGATAACTTTGCCTAATATAATTTATATTTAAGTTTAGACATTTTTAAGAAATTAGTAAAAAATAATGTTTGCACAAACATAACCTTAAAACCTCTCTAAAAAACGCCGATAACTGCACTTTAAACAACAAAATTTACCTACGAAATCATGGCAACATAATACCATATATAATTTATAATATAATAATTTAGACGACCTATTAGTTTGACGATTATTACTGAATTGAAATGTTTACACTTTTCACGTTAATCATTACTAAAATGTGTATTTATTGTATTTAATAGATACAATTTATGTTTACAGGTACTGTATGAAATTTATTTCTTCATTCGGATTAACACTGTTTATAGGAAAACCGATAAAAACTCAACCCAGGATTTCCTCTCGAAATACACCCAACAACACAACAAATCGTGCCACGGTATTTTTTTCGATATTTTCTGGCTTTATTCTTAAAAACACTCGTTTGTAACACACGCATTTGACAGTTGATTATCAAAAGTTGTACTTTTGTTATGATGATAACAGCCGAGTGGTGGCGCTACTAGCGATACTTCTTTAACGTAAATGGTTAAACTTACAGATAGATAACCTCAAATAATTTTTTTTCAAATGTCAAAGATATACTTTTTGGTGTGGTTTATAGGTGTTCTTATCAGGCAACTTCGAGGTAATAGACATTCTCTCCCAAGTTACAAACGTCATGGACAGCGACCGACCGACATTCGAAACTATGACGTACACCAGCGAAACTTTTTTGAGCACGAAAAGTTTTTTAAGTCTCACCAGAGAGCAAAGGAAATGCAGGAAATACGACGAGGCCGAGGACCTTCCAAACAGTCCCCTTTACAGCAAAAAGCTCTGCAAGATCGAATGCCGAATGAGGTTATGTCTCAAGTATTGCGGTTGTTTGCCCTATTACTACAGAAACTTTAATGGAGAGAAAATTTGTAATTTGACAGAGTTGTACTGTCTTTCGCAATATGAAGGTAAGTACCGCTGTCCGCACCACATGGCTGCCTGGCACTAATGAGGTTCAAAAGTATCTCTGTGCCTGGTGGAGTACAATTTAAACAATAGCACTGTAATAATTAACTTTTTAGACGAATTAGTGACTCTAAGAAAGGGAGAGAAGTCGTTATGTAACTGTGATAATGTCTGCGAAAGTACATTATACAACGTATACACTGCCTATTGCACGGAGTGGTTGGGAGAATCGAACCTTGTAATAAGGTTATCTCAATTCCCAATTATACGCTACAAAGGCAACGTAATATTCACCAGAATGGATGTTTTAAGTAATTGTGTGGATAAAAAAAATAAAATTGACTTTACGTTTTTTTTTTTTTAGCTCAAATTGGTGGGATAATGGGTCTCATGTTGGGCTGCAGTATTTTAAGTATGGTTGAGTTGGTCTATTTTTTTACCCTTAGATTTTACTGGGGGGTTTTTAAGGGTATACGAGTTAAAAACAATTAAATGTCTGACTGTCATTATTAATGTCATTTTAGACAAGTAAAATATCAAATAACATAACTAACGGTTTATTCGAATTTGAAGTCATTGTAAAATTCGTTGGTTCATTGGAACCAGACGCTCCCATATCGGTACAGCTGCTGATAGTGCTGGAAGACGCCGACGCATTAGAACCTTGTATTTTTTCTGCAATTTGTAATTTGTTATGCACCGATTCTTCTAGGTATCCTTCTGCTACCGTCGAGGACTTCCATCCTCCGTGACGCTTCAAAGTAGTCATGTTAGCCCCTGCATTGGCCAAAAAAGTCGCCGAAGACCTTCTCAGGCAGTGACCGGTGTAGAGCGCTGGTTCCTCCAATTTCAAAAACATTGCAATTCTTGAAGGTATCTTCGACAACGTATTTATTCCCACACAGTAGCTGGTGCACCTCCCATTTTTGTAGAAAACAAAAAAAGCGGCTACAACTAGTATTCTTTGGTCTCAATTACAAATTGATCGGGTTGACTGAAAATCCTTCTTCAAGTATGGTGAAACTTCTCAATTTCTTGGTTTTAATGTCTGGCAAAACTACGTGAAAATATTTCCCTTTGTCTTGAATATTTTCTATTTTCAAATTGACCAATTCATCGCATCTACAAGCACCGCTAATCCCCATTATCAAAGCCACTTTCATCAACAGGTACTCGTCGTCGGGAGCTTCGTTCAAAAACTTCTCTATTTCAGGTCGTTCTAATGTCTTGGACTTCTTTGGTTTGTATCTCCATGATTTGCTTTTCAAAAAGCTCGTTAGTTTGCCATATTTTGAAATTTCGATTTTTTTATAAAGGTGAATAGTCGAGCGAAGCATCAAGTATTTGGCCTGACGGCCTAGTGGTATAAATCTTTTTCGCGTGACTTATTTTCAGCATAACATACCAGTACCATAAATAACTGTTAATATGTTTTTAGAAGACCTTTTAGTACAACATTGATGTGCAGTTTGATTTATAATTTTTGTATTAGTTTTTTGATTTTTTATTTAACTGAACAAATCTAATAACCAAAGTTTGAGTTTATGAAACTCGAAATAATTTAAATTGCATCTACATTTCCATCTCCATATATAGGTAGGTAGGTAGGTGGGTAGTTCATAATAAATTCAAGGAAAGCTGGGGGAGGATAAATGGAGTACAAAATAAAAGGACGAAATAAGAGCGAGGCAATGTAGCTGTGTTGGTATTGCGTTCTGCAGTGTCCTTAATCTAAATTTGACTGCCGGTCTTAATCAAGTGCAGCAACGGCAGCAATGTACAAGCAGGACCCGATTATATATTTTCTTTCTTTATGAGCACTTAAACGTAATGAGTTAGAATAAAATAGATTCCAGGTCCCGTCGTTAAACGGTTATAGGAAAATACTTAGGGACGACGGGTCCTTATCCTTTTATCCGGTTATGGCCCGATAAGTAAATTAAGCTTAACGAAATCGTTTTGGGTTATTCATATATGTACCGTTTAATCACCACACCCTTATACAGCATTCAGATATATATTTATATATACTATAGTATATAATATATATATTATATAAACATTACTTATATTTTTATACCAGCTGTTTATGGTTTTGCCTTATGTCAACCTGATGGATTCGAAAATAAAATGACGTTTTTAATATAAAATGACGTTTTTAAGGTGAAAATCCATTTTTGAGGTTCTGATAAAACTTGCAATGCTTTTTAACGAGAGGCATCCAGGAAAAAAGTGGGCCATCATTACGTCAATAACCTATTAAAAGAATTTTGCTGTGGTATTCACATCCTTTCCAATTTTTCCAAGTTGTTTGAGTAAATTAAATATAAATAATAATTAACAATACATAACAAAACATTTAAAGCATACAAACTGTACATCATTTTTAAATAAATAGGTAGTTTTTTCACAAAAGAGAGAAAGGCAGAAGTCTTACTCGACAAATTTTGTTTAATTGCACAGCCAAATCGTGCAAGTTATTTGTGTTTTACGTTGCAAGGAAAAAACTAAAAAATGCTTATTTAGTTACGTTAGTGTGTGTATTTTATTTAAGGGATCATGGTGAATTATTGTGTTTTTAATTGTAAATAAAATTCAAGAACTAAATCGTTGCATTTTCATGTTTTGCCAAAGGATCCAATTCGGTTTGTACATTTGTTGGTGCAGAATTAACTAATGATAACTTTACCTAATATAATTTATATTTAAGTTTGGACATTTTTAAGAAATTATTAATACATAATTTTTGCACAAACATAACCTTAAAATCAACCATTTTTATATTTGAGTTCTATAAAAAACGCCGACAACTTTGTTTGACCATTATTACTAAATTGAAATGTTTACACTTTTCACGTTAATCATTACTAAAATGTGTATTTATTGTATCTAAAAGATACAATTTATATTTACAGGAACTGTATGAAATTTATTTCTTCATTCGGATTAACACTGTTTATTGGAAAACCGGTAAAATTTCAACCCAGGATTTCCTCTCGAAATACACCCAACAACACAACAAATCGTGCCACGATATTTTTTAACATTTTCCGGCTTTATTCTCAAAAACACGCGTTTGACAGCTGATTGTTTCATTTAAAGGTTTTCGTTCGAATTCTGTTATATCCACGTCGGGAGTGCCACAGGGTTCTAATTTGGGACCTATTATGTGTATTAATGATCTTTCTTATAGGATGAATGATGATCTAAAAACAGGTTAAAACTAAATATTGCAAAATGCAAAGTTATGTCTTATACAACCAAAAAGAAACCTATATTTTTTAACTGTCAAAGTAAGGGAACCTTTTTAAAATTAGTTAGTTCTTTCCCGATCCAACACCTCTCGAGCAATTGCCGAATGCGCAGGACAACCATCATGACATTTCGAACATTTGTTATAAATTGTTTTCAGAGCCTACCATTGTATATTTAATGTTAATTTTTGTTTTTCAAACGTTTCAAATAATACATTTTACAAGGAAACCAATTTTTCTTAAATTTTAAATTACAGCGCCATCTTTTGATAAATTGAAATTTTTTTTTAAGACATTTTTCCGTGAAATGCGTATTTATCGAGATATTAAGCTGTCTCAAGTTGAAAGAAACACCCTGTATTTATAAGAAAAAAACTGATATACAATCACAGGCAAAATAATCGATCCACACAAATTTTCGATGAATTTCAATCCCAAATAACTTTTTTATTTGTTTTCGGATTTAAACAAATATTAAAGAATATTGTAGATACATTAATGGAGAATCGCTCACATTTAAAAAATTACTAAAAAATATACGTACTTTTATAATATACAGGTTTAAACAAAAATATGTTTTTTACCATAAGTGTAAGACACTCTGTAGAGGGGCAAAACCGTATATTGTTCTAAATTGTGTTTTAATTATCAAGTTACATCTATTTTTAACAGTTTTGTTTTTGGTTCACCTTGATATATTTATTTTTGTGGAAAATATGGATTTTTTTTAATAAAACATTGTAATTTCCAATATTTTTCCTGTATAAAGAACTAAGGTTGCTATGGTCCATCCATAGCCTATGGAGGATGACAGTGACAGTTTTGTTGAATCATCCCATACTTGGACATGTGCATTTACAGCTTTTAAAAGCTATCAAATTGTTTTTTGTAAATTAATGTGTTAATTTTGAGGTGTCTTCTTTTAAAAATGTCTCCGACTGATGTTGCCCTTTGTACTTTACTTCTTGTGACGTTTAAAACACTTGCCACGTAATACTGTGTCCGTCCATCCTGGATTAAATTAATGGCTCTGGCAACATTAGTCGGAGACATATCCATTTTTTAAAGTAAGAAGACACCTCAAAATTTAAACATTAATTTGCAAAAAACACTTTGATAGCTTTTGAAAGCCGTGTATGCCATGCCAAAGTATGGGATGATTCAACAAAACTGTCACTGTCATTCTCCATAGCCTATGGATGGACCAGTTCTTCATACAGAAAAATATTGGAAATTGCAATGTTTTTTAAAAAATCCATATTTTCCACAAAAATAAATATATCGAGGTGAACCAAAAACAAAACTGTTAAGAATAGATGTGACTTGATAAATAAAACTTAATTTAGAACAATATACGGTTTTGCCACTCTACAGAGTGTCTTAAACTTATGGTAAAAAATATCTTTTTCTTTAAACCTATGTATTATAAACGTACGTCTATTTTTAGGTAATTTTTTAAAATGTTAGCAATTGTCCATTAATTTATCTACAATATTCTTTAATATTCGTTTAAATCCGACATAAAATAAACAAGTTATTTGCGATTATAATTCATTTGAAATTAAAAATTAAATTACTTCCACTAAAATCATTATTAATAGAACATTTCGTAAACGCGATCGAAAAAAACCCCATCGAGATGACATTTGGGGATTTGAGAAATGTGGGGAGTTAAGCCGTGGAAGCGCCATTAATCACTTGATGGCAGGCCGGGCGGAATGCTTACGGATTACGGCGGAGACACATTTGAAGATTTTATTACGTTTCGACCCGCGGACAAATTATTTCTCCATTACATTTTTATATCACTTTCAAATTAAGAATGGATTTCTCGGACCGTTTCCTTCCTTGCCGCGATCTACGCTTTTAGAGTTTTTTTATAATCCCTAGTAAGATATCTTCTTCTTCTTCTTCTTTGCTCCGCTACTTACGTTCATTGCAAAAAGTATTAAAATAATGGTGCTACGCTAGAAGGCATGATTTATTGTTAATCATGAGTTTTATTTTGAATTTAAAAAATGCTTTTAGATACGTTTAATCGTTTTTTTTAACTTTTTTTAACTTTTAACGCACCCAGTGGCGGCCCGTGACATTTCATTTTGGTGAGGCAGTTCAATTAACTAAACCC